AAAAACAAAGTAAACAAACATGGCCGCAATTTAGCTCATAAGCTTTGACCTTCTTTCCACCTGTACAATTTAGAGCACATAAGCCTTTTTTTCCCCTTTTTTTTTTTGTTTTTTTGAAAACATAATCATCTTCTCTCTTGATTACCTTTTATTACACATTTATTTGTAATATTAACTGAAAACGAACCCACCATAATTCCATGGCCGTTCCATCTTCATCGGCAAATTAACCCACAATAATCCCACATACTCTTCCTCTTCATATCCCCTCTTCAATTCCCACAATGAAAGTGTCTTAAATCATGTTTTCGGTTACAAATTCATCATCCCACAAAAATAATGATGATAATGATTTTTGGGTGTTTATTCACTCATCTCTCAATGCAATATTAACTCTCTACAACATAGTACCTCCATCATCAAATTTATGTGCAGAAACACCTTCATATACAACATAGTACCTCCATCATCAAATTTATGTGCAGAAACACCTTCATATTGGGTGAGTTTCTACCATCTTGTGTTTTTTTTTTTTTTTTCTTATAATTGTTCTTATTATTCTTATTTTGTTGATTTGTTGAATTTATATTGAAACCCCCATTTAACAAGATTTAGAAATTGTTGTTTGATTTTGTATAGAGTTTGATGCAAATTGAAGGTTGTTGCAAGAGATAAAGCTCTTTGGCTAATTTATTCTAATATTTGGTATATGCTACAACGTATTTGGGAATCGAAATTGTGTTGTTTGCATTAGCTTATCTGAATGTGGATTGTTTTTACTTTTGTTTAGTGGGTTTGTTTTCTCTATGTGTTACTTTCATAATTAATAATATTACCAATAGATGTCGGTTTCGGCATAATCTGATTGATAGTGAGTCATAGTTGATACGATTCAAGTTATAGTTTATCATGAGTTAATATTACCAATATTATTAATTCACAGGAAAGACGACACAAGCCCAGAAATAGAAGAAAGTCAATAGCAAAAATAGCACATAACGCAAAGTACACAACATCAAAAAAGGAGTCCAAAATGAAAACACAAATGCGGATGCAACACGACGAAGAATGACATCTCATTCCCATCTATCCTATGTAAACATAGTTACTTCAGACATATATTAAATAATAATTTGTTCTACAATTTGATGTAATACAGATTATTAATTTTATTTATCAATTTCAGTTATTCTCATACTCCGTACTAAAAAGGCGTATTAGATTACACTAGAATTTATTCAAATCTAATTAGATTATCTTATTAAAAGTGAAGAAAATAAATTATAATTCAATAACATTTAATTGTTAATTTTTAACTGTTAATATTGGGTGTACAGAAAATTTGAGAACACATTGTCCTACAGCTGTGTTTTCATATGTACTCATGCACAAGTTTTCCCTTAATTAGATGATGCAATCATCTTTTGTTAGGTAATTAGTCAAAGGGTTTGATAAAAATTGTTTTTCCCTTAATTAGATGATGCACTCATCTTTTCTTAGGTAATTAGTTAAAGGGTTTGTTAAATTTTTTTTGTCATGTTCATGCTCCAGAGTGGATTAGTTTCATAATAATTATTAAATACATGCACTAATAAAAAAAAAACCTAATAACAAGTATATATATTGTACGGGCCAAAAGACTAGTTATTATTTAAAAACTCTAACCAATAAACACAATATCTCCATCCTATTACACTTCTCTATCTTCTTCTCTAACCCAAGTGCCACATGTATATCTTTTTACATTATTAAATTTTATTAGTCTACTTTCTTTAATTATTTTATTAAACTTATACTAAGTCTTCATTTTCCATGCATACTTCATCTTCATCTGCCTCTTAAATTCAACCTTTTTCTTTTCTCTTTCTTTAATTTTCGTCTCTCCACCTTCTTTATTTAATCCTCATTTTCAATTGAATTTTCAAACATTTTATTTCCTTCAAACATTAAACTTATTGATATTTCCTCATTCATTCAATGTAATTTTCTATAAAAAAAATATTGTACAGGCCAAAGAGCTAGTTCATTTATGATATATGTTTATAAGTATTAAGTAACTTAAAAATATATCAGTCATTATTAAAAATATAAAGTTGTACAATTAGTCCAATCACAATACAACAAAACTTAGTAAGTCGTACGATTAGGCATGACACAAGATATCAACATTTGGCCAGGTAATCCAACTTTTGTTCAGTGTCATGCCACGTAAGTGACAACTAATCATTAGTATGACACATATGATTTAATTATGTGAATAGTTTTTTTTAGGATTAGAAGTTAGTAGATTTGAATTAATTTTATTGTGGTCTTGTAAGTATGGACCATGTCTACACTAAATTATTGTAGACCCAATCTTTGACACTCTCAATAATATGGTCACATTTTGGATGATATAATCTTTTTTAGAATGACACATTTACATTGTAAAAAATATAATCAGTTTCTGGATATAAGGATTAATGGAAATTAAAAATCCAACATTTTGTTTATCCCAAAAAAAATTCAACCTTTACCCCTTATCTTCACCAATAGATCCATTTATTTGACCTTAACGTGTTAAACAGGTTAAAAAGAATTTTTGTTTTTTTAATTCTCTCACTTTCACTTCCCACTCCCCCTCTTTCTCTCTCCTCAAAAACTGAAACAGTATACAACATGCACCATCACCACCACCACCTATGCCATCACCACCTCTGCCACCACTTACCCTACCCTACCCAAACCCAGAACCGAAACCTTGCTCCCACTCCGGCCTATTTAGGCTTGAAACCACATGCCCCACCTAGCCGAATCCACCAACCTCACTCCTACCTAGGCTCGGCGTCTTCTCCATCTCCTCCCCTTCCTCCGGCGACATCTTTGGCGACCAGTATGAAAACCTAGCCCCAACTTTGAAAATCACACCCTAGCCCCCGAAAACCTAGCCACCACCACAAAAACCTCAAATTCACCTAGAATTCACCAACGCCATCCCATCGAAGCCCCCCTCATCTCCCCGATTCGTTTGTTTTTGGTTTTGGTCGGCTGTGCGGTGCTTGGCAGCTGCGATGTTGTCGGTGGACTAGTGTTGGATGAGATGTGCGGTGCTTGTTGGTTGCGGTGTTGTTGGTGGGCTAGTGGTCAAGTGGTAGGCGTGTTTGGTGGGCTTGTGGTCAGGTGTTTGAGTAGGTGGCAAGGGGCTTTGTTTTTTATTTTCTTATATTTTTTTAGTAATTACAAAAATAATAGACCTATTAAAATTTGAGACCTAGCATATAACTTACAAAAATCGATCACCGACAGGTAATGGATCTGTTAGTGAAAATAGGGGGTAAAGGTTGAATTATTGTGGGATAAACAAAAGGTTTGATTTTTAAGGGAAGAAAGTGCAAAAGGATGGATTTTTAGTTTCCTTTTTTTCTATGATAAAATCACTCTTTTGGATAATATACTTACTCCTTTACAATGTTATAATCACCTTTCATATGATATAATCAAATTTTAAAATGATATATTAGATGGTTGGGTGCACAATCTATATATATACTAAAATAACAATCGCTGATGTTATCATTGTTTACGTGTCACTTTTTTATTTAATTTTTTCCCCCAAATTGCAAGAATGATGCCATATTTTTTTCCCTTTTTAAGCTACCCTATTTAACATAGCTTTGAAATATATTCCATTTGAATTTTTAAATTTTAAATTTTGGGTTTTCTACACATATTATGCTATTTAGTTATTAACGAGTTGTTAACAATTGTTAATAATATAATTTAATTGAAATTTCTTAATTAAAAATGAAAAATTTCAGGAATTGCATGTTCATATTTAATTAGAAATTAGTTAGGAAAACTGAGGAAGTTATTTTCTTTCAGTATATATTGTTAAAAGTCTATAATCTATAAACATTACTAAAGGAATAACCGCTGACATCTTCACTTTTTTCAAATTATACACATGTCAGCTTCTCTTTTATTTTTTTTCCCGCCCAAACTTTTGTTCCCTTTAAGAAAAAAAAAAATCTAAACATTGATTCCTGTAGTTTTCATTACTTTTTTTTTTAAAAAAAAAAAAACCTCTTAAAAACCTCAAGGAAAAGTGGAAAACAAATATCAACCTTTTACAATTCACATATATGATTATTCCATCTAATTACAAAGTTCCCTAAATTTTATTGTACAAGTGAGTTTTCTTTTGTTTATTTTATTTTTTGTCGTTTGGTTTATGGTAATAATATCGTCTGTAATATAAAATTTTTACATATTTTGACTGATATGTCTTTGGATTAGCTTACACAATTATAAAAACTTTTTTTTATATTCGTGCATCGCATGGGAGTTAATCTAGTTCAATTCTTATTTTAAACCGTGCATCGCACGAGGTTAATCTAGTAAATTATTATATAGTGGGTCTATTTGAGAATTTTTTAGGAAAAATAAAAGTTTGTTTAGAGTTTTTTTTAATAAAAAAATAGAAAGATTTTTATGATAAAAATGTTGGTTAGAGTTTTATTTTTGATAAAATTCCAATATTTCATGGGTATAATATATTTAATTATAAGTATTAGTTTAAAGTATATTTTAAAATTTAATAAACAACCCAACATCGTAGGAATAATTAGTATCATATAACTAGTATATAAAGCTAAACTTTTAGTCAGGTCAAGAGGCAGCGACATTTGACATTCTAACTTTTTGTTGGGTAGATTTAAATAGACTCCATAAGATAAAAAAAGTTAGTTTAAAATTCTATTTTGAATCAAATTTGGATAGAATTTTAGGATAAAATTGTGATTTTAGAGTTTAATTTTCAATAAAATAAAATTTGAGTGTTGCGCTAAGTTGGATAGATCTAAATAGATTTCATAAACAACTCGGGTATCATACGAACACAGGCACAAAACTAGTATATATATAAATAAAGGTATTATCCCACGAACAAATATATCACTAATTCACTACCCCTAAACAACCCTATCAATTACTCCGTTCTTCCTTTGTTCAAGGGTTTACGAATGGCAAAGCGTCGAGTTTCCCGTGGCATTGATTGGGTATTTTGAAACCTCGTCTTTGATATTTTATATAGATATAAGATAAAAGATATGTGGCTTCAAATTTTGGTATTTGATTATTGACTTTGTGGGTAATTATTTCAGTACCGAGTACCTATTGACGAAGTCTTTAAGAAATTAGGGTGTAACAATGGCGGCCTCACTTCTGTGGCTGTTGAAGAAAGATTACGTCTCTTTGGGCCTAATATCTACCAACATAAATCAGTACAACAATTCTCTCTTCGTCTTTCCTTCTTTTTTATTTTATTTTATTTTATTTTATTGCATGTTCATAATTTATTAACAGGCTAAAAGGTGATTATGTTATATTAAACTAGTCTGTCACTTATAAGATCTATTAAGTATAGATTAGTAATGCACTAATGCAGGAGGTGTCTCATTCATTTAGGTTCTATTGCTTTGGCAAATCGTCTGATCTTCAATTCTGCTATATAATTAATTTATTAGCTATAATTTTTTTATTATTTCATTTTACTTAATTATAAGTGATTCTTTTTATCTGCTCAGAAACTATGTTCAATATCCTGTACTCTCATTGCGACACTTGTATCTTGTCGAATGATTATCCATCTCATAGTTTGTACTGTTAGGCTTTCATGTACATGGTTGTCACAGTGCTGTATTTATCTACCTGGTGAATTACAGGAAGCAAATTTCTTGAAGTTTTTGCATTCAATTTTGAATCCTCGAATGTTGGCTACAATCATTGCCGTTGTCATTGGATGGGTCAGCAGATGATTTTCTTACAATTCTTGTACTTCTATCTAATGTTCTTCGGTTACTCTACTTACAAAATTTTTTTGATTTCAATTTGGTGCAGGATCAGAATTTTAACTGGCCATGGCCAGTGATGGTTGTGGTCATTCTTCTGCATTTGATGACTTCATTAAATATTATTAAATCGGAAAATGTCATTAATGAAAATCTTACTACCCTTATGACACCTCTAGCTAAGAAAGTAAAGGTATAAATTGTTGGTTATAAATGGTTTACAAATATGGAAGATTTTCTCGCGCATGCATGATTAAATACTTAAGGAAAATTTGTTTGGAAGGGATTAATATATTAACTATTTTGCGTGGAAGGACCTTTTACGCTGAAAGTTGTTTAAAAGAACCAAATATATTTTGTCTTTTATAAGGATCTTGACATCGAAATCCGACGTTGAACTTTGATTCTCCTGCGTTGACCCCCACGTACATGTCACGTGACATTGAAAAAAAATTACCTTCTCCCTTTTTTTCCCTTTTCCCTCCAACCCTAGCCTTCAAAACGCTAGCAAAGTCAAACGCCAAATTCCAATGTTAAGGGGAAAAAAAGAGAGAGGGTGTTTTTTAAATGCCATATTGCCATGTGACATGCACGTGGGAGTCAATGCCGGAGAATCAAAGTTAAACGCCGAATTCCGATGTCAAGGTCCTTTCAAACAACAAAACATACTTATAAGGTCTTTTTAGACAACTTTCAGCATATAAGGTCATTACAGACAAAATAGTGAGCATACAAGTCCCTTCCAAACAAATTTTCCAATACTAAAGTATCTGTTATGCCTTTACAGGTTCTACGAGATGGTAGGTGGACTGAGGAACATAGTACTTTGTTGGTTCCTGGGGACGTGATCAATATTGAAGCTGGAGATATAATACAAGCTGATGTTCGTCTACTTGGAGAATACCCTGTAGTTATTGATGAGGTCCGTTTTATTATGAGTTTAACTGCTGTCTGTCCTGTCTACTCTATTACTGTTGAAAATTACAAGTTTGTGTGGATTTTCAGTATGTGATAACAGGACAAGATATGTCTCTAGTTATTAAAAGAACAGGGGATGCTGCTTATTCTAGCTGTATTTGTGAACACGGAACATCTGAAGCTGTGATTGTTGCTACTGGCAATCAAACCGCGTTTAGGAATAAAGTTTTCCCAGATGACACACCCCACAAAGTTAGATATTTAGAAAGGGTAAGAAGAGTTAGTAGTTGATTTGAACGCCTCCATAACTTGTTTAGAACTACATGTCATTTATTCTTGTTATGTTTTTAGGTCTTAGCTGGCATATGGAATGTTTGCATATGTATGGTTGCTGTTGGGATGTTGGTGCAAATTGCTGTGATGTATCCATTTCAGCACCGTGCTTTTCGTACCGGAATTGACAATCTGCTTGTAATCCTTATTGCTGGAATTCCCATTGCTCCCCATGCCAATGTTTCATTTATAATATACCGAGGCTCTCAAATCCTTGCCCTCAAGGTTTGTGTCTCTTAAATGCTCATGAAAACTTTATTGATACTATTTACAAGGGGAGTACAGTCCCACCAAGCAGGCTTATAAAATTTTGAATGTGGTACTTTATCATGCTGCTAAGTCTTTATCATTGTTATTAGTTATTCTTAGGACTTAAATGAGACTCTATACAGGGTGCTATCTTGAAGAGATGGGCTGCAATAAAGGAGATAGCTGATATGGATGTACTCTGCACTGATACTTCTGGAATCCTTGCAATGAACAAGCTCACAGCTGATAAGAATCTTGTTGGTCTGGGTACTCTTGCGAAATTGGTTACAGGTTTGTTCTGTTCAGAATATGAGAGTAATATTCTTTTAATTTCAATACTAAATCAGCGTCTGAGGAAGTTAACTAACTGTCGTTTGGCTAATCTAGTGTCTTCCTTGCTTGAGCACAACAAAGATAAGACAACTTCTGCCTCATTGTTTGATGATCTGATTGAAAAACCTAATGCTTCCTCAGGTATAATTGTTCTGCTACCTATCTTCTAGTTCATACGTAATTTAATTTGACTAGTGATGACCAATACGTTAAAATAATCTAATATTCTAATGTACTCATGTACGCCTATTTGTTTTTTCTCCAGTATTGATTGTTCGGTAATGTATGTTTTTTTTCAGAGTCCACATATGGAGTTGTTGAGCAGTTGCAAGCTAGGAAGCTTAGATGTGGGATGATTGGAAATGATATCAATGACGTCCCTGCTCTGAAGAAGGCTGACATAGGGATAGCCACAGAAAATGCAACTGATGTAGACCGCAGAGCTTCTGATATTGTTCTCACAGAGCCTGGTCTTAATGTTATCATTAAAGCAGTGCTAATCTGTCGAAAAATATCACAGAAGATTAAAGAGTACCTTGTAAGTAATTATTTAGAAGTATATATTTACCACTGCTGCTTCAGTCTGTTATTCTGTGGGGTTTTTTTCACTTTGGTGCTTTGAATACTTGTTGCGGCGCTTTCTTTCAGTCTGATTTTAACTTCCTACCAATAAACTAGTAACACTAAATACATTATCTAATCATCTCATCCAAGCTTTGACTCTTTTATATAATATACAGATAAACACCCTTGCAATGACAGCCCACACAATTGTAAGTGACTTTCCTCTAAATTTTATCTGTAAACTCATTATATCATTTATTTGGCTCTCATCTCAACATAACATCCTCGTTTGTTGTCATATTACAGCTTGTTTTCATGCTCCTCACTTCCATTTGGAAATTTGATTTTCCACCCTTGTTGATGCTTCAAATTGTTGTCTTTGACGAAGGTCATTATACTATTATCTCGCGTTTTTTATAAAAATGAAACTCACGTACCTTCACATGAAAGGCTTGGTCTTGCGTTTTTAACATATTGTTTTCCTCCACAGTTTTAAGTTGTACTTTTGCACCCTATCGAGTTAAACAATCTCTTCTGGTGGCTGATCGATGGGGAATGCTTGACATATTAAAACTTGGAATAGTTATAGGTGTTTACTTGGCTTTGGGGACGATCATTTTTTTCTGGACTGCATGTGAGACGGACTTCTTCCAGGTACATAGATCTGCTTCCATTACTTTGTCAATAAGTTATAAGACAACGCACAGTAGTAGTTTTTGTGGGTATGCCCACACCAAATAGAGTTTTACAGGCCATTAAGTAGCTAGTAAGTTAGTTGGGGCTGTGCTCCCAAAATTACATCATTAGTTACATCAAAAGCTTAGATCTGCTAATCGAATGTGATTATGGAAAACAGAACAATGGCTTGATAGACATACACAAGCTTTTGAGTGGCTTTTTTTCAGTTTTTACTCTAAAATGCTAAATTAAAGTAAGAAACCATTCCAATCTTTGAACAATGCCAATAACTTTACCTAGTCTTATTTATCTATAGTTTTCTAGAATCTTATTATTTCTCGCTCCATCTTCTAACTTACCTTGTTCCTGTTCGAGCTACTCTTAACAAACTAATTATGGCCTACTACTACCCCCATCCATTAGGTCAATTCATCAAAAATAGAAAAAACACTAAAGACACTATAAAGTTGTCAATCAATGGAAAATAATTTGCTCGTATTGCTAATACTAGACTTAGCACCCAGACATCAACTTAATTATTTCCTACTTTGTACTAAATAATAAGATTGCTGCTTTCTTGAACTTTGTAGAGGGTATTTGGAGTTGCAAGTCTGTTGGTGGAAGCGCCTCATAGTAACAACGCAAAGCTTGTAGCTGCAGTATATCTTCAAGTTAGCATCAGTTTGCACAGCTTAATATTTTTTACTCAGTCAAGAAAATGGTCAAGTGTCATTCGTGATGGAAGCGCTGTTCTAATGTTCCTGGTTGTTCAACTGGTAATCGCATCTTTGATCTAGATTGTTTTATTTTTATTATTATTTTATTTTTTATGATAATAAAGACTATCTAATGGGTTGCTGTTATGATAGATGGTTACTTAAGCATTAAACAAAAAGCAAATCTCATTTATTTTGATAGATGTTTCCTAATGAACAATAAACTCTTTTCCTCTGTACCATGAACAGTTGGCGAACCTCATTGCTGTTTATGCTGATTGGGGTGCACTTCAAGGCATCGGTTGGAGTTGGGCTGGTGTAATTTGGCTTTACAACATCATATTATACATTCTGCTTCTCTCTATCAAGGTGCTTGGTGCATTTATGTTGTCATTATTAAGCAGAAGGTATGTTATATTGTCATATACACGTGAGTTTTAGTCGTACGTCTTGTCTTTTCCTTAAGGCCTTGTTCAATTCTGATTTTACTCTATCTTTTTGACGAATTTATGTTATCAATTGCAGTTAAATGGCTAACGGTGATAGTTGTACCAGCTATGATGATGTATTCCATCAAATTAAAACTAATTGACATGTATATATAGTATGCATTCGTGAAGGTGCAACCAAGCCTTTTTTTTTTTTTTTTTTTTTTTTTTTTTTTTTTTTTTTACTACTGATTTAGTTTAGCATTTTTCTTGTTGAACTGAAAAGTTTGAAGTATTGAAACCAGATACTTTGACCTTTTTAATCTCAACGTTAAATATTTCACACTTGTCAATGCATATTTTGTGGCTTAAATATCTTTAATTATGTTGTTTTTAAAATTTTTATATATAAAAATGATATTATGATTTATGAATTCTTTCAAAAAAAAAATATTATGATTTATGAATGTATACAACAACAAAAAAAGTCATTCCTAAATGATTTAGGGTCAGCTAACATGAATTGTCGTAATGATTCATACGATATAAAGAGCAAATGAAAGAGTATTTAAGAAAAATTAAATATTTTACTCGATCCCTAAAGTACTTATGTTACTCTCAACCACCCTCTTCCAAGTTTTCTTAGGTCTATTCGTACCTCTCGCAATCCTTACATTATGCAATCAGTCGACGTAACCCCTTGGCTTTGAAAATTGCATAAGTTGCACATCATCCCATCCCAAGGTTAGGTAAATGTGGGTTAAAAAAATAAAGGTCTATCGTTAAACGAGGCTCAAGGTGGTTTATCAAAAGAGATTGTATAAGGAGAAAGGTGATATGATGTGGCTACAAAGGGGTGGCTTAAATCATCAAGTATACCTTGTGTTTAGCTCAGCGTGATTTTTTTTTTAAATCTAATGCTATGATCATATATATGCATGGAAATAAATGCTCATGTTATTGAAATGGAAAGGATAATGAATCAAACTCGTGAAGTAAATCTAAGAAAAATGATAAAGGGTGCCTATACAGACTTATTAAGGGAAAGTGAATCAAAAATAAGAAAAGAATCTCGTGCTTATCATCACTTACTTGACCTTCTTGTTGCTTGGAGGAACACAAAAACAATTCTAGTCAATGAGGTCTTGAATATGATCCTTGAGGATGAAGCATTTCTCAGTAGTGTGACAATTGCCTCGATGGTATTTGCAATAGGAATTTTGATCCCAATTAGGAGATCATCTCTCAGGATTATTGGATCTTAGATTGGAATGGGATGAATGAAGCCTTGGCCATGGAAGTAGTCAAAAGTTTCATTATGAGTCGTTCCTAATGATGTATATTCATCAACGGTCCATTTAATCAGCTACTTAAAAGCATTGAGTTTTTCCTTTAATCTTTGAAGGGAAGAAGAAAAAGGAGGATGGTCATTCTTTTTATGCTTCCAATCTTGGCGATGAGGGTTTATTTCAATGACTGACATTCGATTCACCAGGTTTTCCACCATACTTGTAAGCTTAGCAATGGAATCTAGGAGCTTATCAATGTTTCATTTTAGATTTGTTGAGTTTTCCTCGGTGACATCTAAGAAAACTTCTTCATCCTCCTAAATCATGGTCACTTCGTTAATGGTAGTTTCATAGACTTCTTCAATCATGGGCTCATGAATAGGTGTGATTAGGAGAGAAGGTTTAGAGATTATTTGATCTTCTGCAATGGATAGAACCTCAAAAAGTTTGTTATCATCAATCAAGTCCTAGATAGTTTCTTAGAGTTTCCAACATTCCTCAGTATCATGACCTCTTCTTTTGTCGCATTTACAGTGTCTATTAGGATCCCACTTAGGTGATCTGGCCTCCGGGACTGGATCCTTGATGGGTATTATGAGCATAACTAGTCCTTTGTGGTGTTGTTTATTGAAGGTTGTCTCGTAGCTCATGCCAAGTGGAGTAAACACTCTTTTTGACCGTTGGATTCGTTGCTTAGAAGTGTCTAAAGCATTCATTTATGGGAGAGGAAGAAGAAGGATGATCATTCTTTTTTCTTTTTGCATTATTATTGTTAGTAGCTGCCAATTTTGCAAGGTCATCTTCAATTTCGATGCCTACATTGTAGACATCCTTGAAAGTGTTTAGAAGTTGATATATTTCAGGTGCTTTTGATACTTGTCTTGGAGGTTTTTTATGAACATTCTCGCAGAGTCTTTTTCGTCTAGGGCCTCGATCATCCTAGCAAAAACTTCCTTTCACCTATTATAGAATTCGGTGAAGTCATTATGTTTTTGTTTAAAGATTTCAAGCTCTCTATAGATAGTCTCTACTTGAACGTTGCAATGGTATCTCTTGATGAAAGTATGTGCAATACCATCCCAAGTAGCATTTGTAACACCCCAAAATTACTCTCTAATATTAACAATAATAATCCAACTTTAGGGAGTAAGTTGGAAGTATTACAGCCACGTGATTACGCAAGGCTTAACAGAGTTTTGCAGCGGAAAATAGTACTTATCTTTTATTAATAAAAATAGTAATAGTTTTAAAACACTTCCAAAGTAAATACAAAAGTAACTACAACACTGATATTATTTTTACTAAATTAAACTAGGTGATCACCGCCCATCACCCCCAATGCAACATATAATTCACGTCGTCTGGTCACCATCACCTATCTACTCATAGTAATGATAAGTAGGGCAAAGCCAAAACAAACAAATACGTATTAGCCAATATGCTAAATACATACAAATGCTAGACATGTAAAATTAATTTAATTAATTAAACATGCTTTCGAAAAGATTTGGCTTTAACAAATCATAATTTATCCAAACCATTCATGAATAGAAATTCATATATTAAAACTTGTCAAAAGAATCCATTTCCGAAATAACCAACTTTCCAAAGATAATTCTGAATAGGATGGATCTATCCATGTTTTCATAAATCATTTTCCCATCTAAGTGTGCACACCCCCTAAGCTAGTAACTTCTTTACATAGTGCTATCAAGGGAAAAGATTAGGTCATACAAAGTCCATAGACTTCAAATTACTCCGCATAGTGGGAGTTAAAAATCCAAAGATCCAAGGAGTAAATCTTGTTAAATAAACTTTCCAATATCCCATACTTGGGATAATTTAAACAACAAAACTTCCTTTTTAAATATCTTGAATATCAGTACAAGTTTGTAATCAACCATATAAAATATGTCAATATTTGAGATTAAACAATTAAAACATGTTTCATCGAAATATATTTCGCAATCATTTAAACATGGTTCGAAATCACTTAACATGTAAAACACGTTGCATATAAAATTCACTTTATAAAAGATCTAGCCACGTGTACGTACCTTAATCCTTGCAAACAAGCACAAAGTTCCTAATTATGAACTTGAAATCCCTACTTCAATAAACACAAAGTCCTAATAAAAAACTCTTCAACCCATAAACACTAACACATAAAATGTAGACCCTTGACTTAGTTGTGCACGGTCAATTAGTTTGACTCTTGTAATGCTTATACTTTCATAGTTCAAGAAACCTTTTTAATATTAAGAGAGTTAATTATATTATTATTATTAATAATGATAATAATAATAATAATAACATGTAGTAGTAGGAGTAGTACGTAGAGTAGCAAAATACCAACAATATTATGATAATAACACTTATAACACCATGAATAGTAGTAATACTTATTTTAGTATGAAGTAGTAGTATTAATATGTATAGTGTAGTTGTTTGATATGATTTAATCAAGATAATAATAACAATACTTTATAATGATAGATTATCCTTAGTATGTATGTAGTACTAGTAGTGTACAATAGTAGTAATATGACTCAAAATGAAGAACATCATCAACAACAACAATGTAGTATAAAAACAAGGTTGAAAGCTTAGATAATCAAGCAAGGGAGGAAGGTGGAGGGACTACCTATGGGTGGCAGCGGCGGCAGTGGTAGGAGAGATGCAGCAAGGTGGTCGGAGTGGTGGTGGTCGTGGTGTTCATGGTCAAAGAGGAATAAAGAGGAATCAAAGGAAGAATTAGAAAGGAGAAGATGGAGGATGAAGAGAGTAGTTTGGGGAAGATGAATGTGCAAAGTGTGACTGATTTTCATGGATATTTATAGCCTCAATTAGGCACTATTGCAGCTGTCTCCATTAATGAAAGAACAAGTGGGAACCTTGGTTCCATTTTTGCCGACATGAAGAGGTTCTAAAAGCAAGAAAATGTGTTTCTGTTCAGCAGCCATAACTTTTGATATATAGTATCAAACAACAATCTCACCGTTGAAATTGAAAATTGGGATGTTCTGAACAAGTTATCAAAATTTCAGCAAAATCGGACCACGAATAGACCTTGATCTGAGGTGTTTTCCGAGACTGCTCAAGTTTGGGACGAAAATAAGGATGAATGGTGTATAGAAGGGTACGTGGAGCAATTTGTGTGGAAGTTAAGAGTTGAATTTAGAAAATAGGATATTAAATACTTTTGGCACTTTTTAGTATGACTCAGGAACAAAATATTTGGCTCGGGAACAAAGAGGTTAAGGTAGAAAATCCGGTTTTCGGGCACGATAATTTTACTTGATTAGTATAATCAAACTTATTATAAAACGTAACTATTAAATTGTCATTTGTATATAATAAACTATTTTGTATAATAACATAATATTTGAAATATCTCGAAAAATTCAAATTAGTAAACGAGTTTAAAATACGGGGTATTACAGTCTACCCCTCTTAATGAAGTTTCGACCTCAAAACTTAAGTCAAAAGTTGGTTAAAAAATCCAAGTTAGTACTAACTTACTCATGCACAACTTATAACGATTCGAAATGACTCATATTGTAACTCATGCACAACATAAAATAACTTAAAATGACCCAGAAACTAGCCAAAAAGGGCAAAAGCGCGAAACTCTATCGCATTCTACCCCCCTTAAAAGGAGTTACGCCCCCCTAACTCGACTACTGATCTTAGAAAACAACTTTGGATATCTTTTCCTCATATCTGCTTCGGTTTCCCGAGTAGCTCCTTTTGTTTTATGATTTGACCATAAAACCTTAACTATTTTAACATCCTTGTTTCTAGTGCCTCTC